TAATAAACCAGCTAGTAAAATATTCATGTTAATTCTAAAGTAGATGATCAAAATTCCAGAGCATGAAATACTTGAATGATATCACAAAGGAGAAAAATTTTCATAAAATTTAATAACGATACATTTTGAAAATACATTATATAGCTTCTCGATGTTCAAATTTTCCATAACAAGATACTTTTTCTTATATCTTCTTTGAGCAACTAGATTTTTGTTCATTCTCATTCTGCTACGAACCAACTTTCGATCGTATTTATTCTCGAAACCTCTTCTTTCTACCGCCTTTTTCTATTACCTTTTCTCTGTTGACTTGTAGCTTCACGTAAAATACATTCAGCTTGCCTGTGAATTCCCACCTCTTTAGTTTTTCTTTTTCACCCTCGATTTCTCGCATCGTCTGTTACCTCGTAACAGCCAGGGTCAGACGAAAAGAATACATCGTTCCATCACTGCGCCACCAGGGATGCTCCTCTCTTACCTCACGTTTCCCTGCGGCCGTTAAGAAGCAACCAAAAACCAACTGAGTTTCAAGATGAAATGTCTTCCTTACTTATCAATCCGTTTTTTATTTATTACCGCAATCATATATACATTGTTCACGAATAATAATAAAAATGTATCCAGTTTATTTTGATGATTATTGTTGTTGAAGATAAAAGAAAGAAAAGAATGAAATGCATACGGTGGTGATGAGATTGCGGAATTCATTTATTAGGTAAAGTTTATTAAAACGATTGTCGTCAAATGAAAAAGCAGCGATATTATGTGGCACAAACATCATTTAAAATCTGACCGCTTCGTTTATTCGTAATTCTACGCTATACTATACGTATAAATGCCTATAATAAATAACAGAGTGGTGGAGTTTTGTTACGATTCGACGCGTTGAAATATTGGTGAGTAAACATAAACGACCGGCCGCTTTTCCGGTTTTACTCTCGCACGTACAATACTATGTTGCGTGTGTGCTCAAATAACTTTTACAGGGTTGAAATAATATTTTTTTCTCGTTCTCAAAATGTCTGTGAGTAAGATTGGATATATTGCAGTCAGACGAAATATCCAAACCCACAATCATTCCAGTGACTTATTGATCAATTAAAACACTGAACACATTATATAATTTTTTTTCTGGTTTTTAGGCTTTTAACTTTTAATTGAACTTTATGCTACAATCAATGCTTTAAACGATAACGAAAACTCATAAATGAACAATTCACTACATCAACCAAGTGAACATATCAATAATTTGCTAAATTCATCAATTTTACAACAATTATTTTTAAATGACTTTTCACTTTGATCGCTAGAAAGACATTTTTTTTATTGCTTCTATACATTGTGAACATTGACACGAGTTTATTCACCTAAAATATAGATGCTACAGAAATTAAATTAACTGCTATATTGATAGAAAAATTGATTGTATCATAATGAATTGATTGCATTGAAATGGTTATTAACACCATAAATAATTAGCAAGTGTTTATGAAAGCTTTAATAATTGAAATAAAATGAATTATTTATCAACAACTAATTCCACTAAGTCTTGTTAGTTTCAAACAGCCAATTATTTTCACCAGAATAGATATGAGTTCAAAATTCAGTCACATTTCATCCAGCAACCTCAATAAGTGTCCTGTTAGAAATCCTCATATAAAGTCATATTCACTTTTGCCAACATATTTATGCCGCAAGTTACTTAATATTGTACGTAGTACATATTATTCTTATTTTATATGGATAAGGGCAGAGGTAAATAGATATACAGAGGTGTACAACGAAGCAGCAAAAGCATGCAGAAGTGTTGAAGCTGAGTTTAATGCCGAACATTACTATACCAACACACCCGGATCCTTTCATGACCCTAATGGGAAAGCTCACTGGTTTCTTCCTTCTTGCTTGACCCTATGCCATCCCTTTCTCACATTTTCTATAAATACAGATATACGCCAAGTGCCACGATACCCTAGTGTAACAGTGTGGCTAACTTATAGTATCAAATAGCTTGTGCTATACACCCACAGATACTTGGTTAACTAAGGCGTCCAATATCCCCCATCCACTTTCCACATCCTTCTATACCTTCAATACATCCGCAATAAAACTGTTATCAGTTTCGTACTCTGAAACCGCCCCAATACTAATAATGATTCTATACGGATTATTGGTACTTATAGATAGTGGAATTTACTCAATCATAATCATTTGAAAAAATTTTAAAAAATTTATCCATTTATTGTTACACAACTATTTATAATAAATATATATACATGTGTACGTATATTTATTATAGTGGCTCGGCAATAATAATAAATTTATAGGCAAACATGACGTCATCACTTGTCCGAGCACTTTCTCTGTCGTGCCAATGCACCCGCGACATAGCACATTTATGCATCACACGTACTCACGTTTACTTGGAGAAAAAGAAACAATGATAGTAGGTAGTTTCTGTTTTTACACATTTATGCATTGCTCGTTAACCGCATTTATCAAATCGTCTACCGTATCCTACTTATTATAAACGTTTCGTTCGTTTTATCTATTGGGATTCTGTCATCTTTTCATTATTAATTTGCAGTTATGAATTATTAATAGTTTCATCACGATGATAATAATATAATATCCACGCTTTGCACTTTGAATATTTTAGATCCATTAATTACAACTATTCAATAGATTAGCATATTGCTAGAGAATAAATAGAATCATAAAACATACATTGCTCCAAAATATTAAATTATATTTTTTTCTTTTTTCTTTATGTATGAAGTGAAAATTATTCCAACATGATCGTGGATTGAATTAAATAGAAATCTGTCGAAATAAAAATTTCATTTGGTTGGATATTTAATTACAGATGTAATTGCAGTAAAAAAAAGTTTTGCAAATCGGTTAATAGCTTTAAAAAAAAAGAATTTATACTGAACGGAAACTAATAGTTTTAATTATATGGATGGATAGGATAATCATCATCATCATTATATCATTTTCAATTAATGTATGCTTGATTTTACTTTCACGACGCTTTCTTATGCCAATGTTACTTGCACTTGTGATTGCACTCAAGCATTAAGTGTGCATGTAGCATGACTGCAAATGTGGAAAAAAAAATATGATGATAATATTATGTATATGTGTCATATTTTCAGAATCATAAGCGTGTAGTATACACTTCTTTATGATGATGATAAGAAAAATTTTCATTTACTCTTTGTGTTTAAACAAGCTTACTTATCTCTTGCTCGTTATCCAAACTGATTCATAATATTAATCACTTGACTGCACTTTTATCATGTTATTTAATTAGTTTATAACTGGCTATGATTTAAAATTACATTTAATTGAATTATTATATCTCGATGAATATTACATTATTTCAAAGTTTTTTTTTTTATAAATAATTAATCATAAAAGAAGAAAGGTAACTTTAACAAAAATTCTTTTCATTTCTTTTAATATGAAATATTCTAAAATTTTCATCTAGTCTCGAATAATTATAGAAAAAATTCTTTGTCTTATTTTACTCGCCATGACCTACATTTTCATGACAAAGAACTTGTATATAATTATTACAACTTCTGGAAGTAACAATAAACTAAAACATTAATTATTTTTTAATCGTTATTTTTTTTTTTTACCAGGGTCTTTTCATTTATTTATTACGTCTTTAAATCATTGTTTTTTTTTAAAAAATTTTATTTGCTTTTTATTCTGAGAGAAAGCTAATTAGATGTCTGATCGTAATATTTAGCTAATCCATTCTATAATTGTTGTTCCATCAACTATTCTAATTACGTGAAACAGTCTTAATTCCCGCGAATTGAAGTAATGCATTCGAGATCGAGAATAGTAGGTTCAAAGGATAGGGAGTTTAATATGAATATTATTACATAACGGTTCGACCGTGATGCATCTCTCTAGTATTTTCTACGAAATTACGAAAAGCAGAATGTAAGGAAATATATAACCCACTCGACTTGTAACACATAAGAGCACGTACACACATTATATTTAAGCACATACTATTTACGATTAAGCTGCCCAACCAAAACTATTTTAAAGCCGAAATTTTTAGAAATATGGGTCATCATCTAGTCATCTTCCTCTTTCTTTTGCTGCTTAGTATGAAGATATTGAATTTCTTGATGACTCATTCAACATTATTTTCAAATAATTCCTTAAATTCTTTTATCTATTTTATTTTTATTTTTTATACATCGTAAAAATTGGATGACATTAGAAGATGTGTGTATGTTTTTTTTTCTCTGAATTAACCAAGATTGACAAATATCTTCTTCTGTGACGGGTAAATTTAATTTCATCACTGCATCTATATAATACCAATCGATCTACTTGCAACTGGTAAAAAAGTTGATTGATTGTCCTCGACCACTATAACCACATTTCAATATAAAAAGTTGCCACGGGAGTGATCGTACAATTTGTGGTCTGGCTTCTTTTTGGTTTACAATTTTGTAAAATATAAGACATTGTGACAATGCATGGGAAATAATTGGAAACATTTCTCTTGTTGAATACAACCAGACAGATTTATTTAACAATAACACTTGACAATAAAGAATAATATTTTTCTTCTTGGAAATATCAAACATCCTAATGGTTGAATGATTTAAAAATTTGAAGGAAACTTCAACATCTGTGGCTTTCAAATTCTATTTATTAATGGGAATTCTATTAATCGGAATGCTTTACAACTTTTTTTTTAAAATGACTAATCGATAATAAACTCGACCAGGTTATATTTTTTATTCAACAAAGTTACACAGAATAATAATTTTATTTATCTTAATATTTTATTTCATTTAATTTGTAAAAATAAATATTAGTTTGCTCTTAAAGAATCAAATAATTATCAATAAATATTTATTCAAGTTTATAAAATATTGAATTGTAAATTCTTAAATTAAATAAATAAATCATTTAATATACAATGTACATAAAAAATAATCCTAATTGAATAATTTCTTTTCCAGCTGGATGACACAGCACTGCAGCTCTACAAAGATGGTGACTATGGAGCTTACTTGGATCTTGAAGCATCAATCAGTGAACAGCAAGAAGAATTCGAGGGTTTCCAGACTAAGTAAGTGCATATCAAAAATGATTAAAATCGATACTTCTTTGGCAATGAGACAATTTAAACTTTACAGACCTTTTGGACTTTCATAAATGTAGACATATACATACAGACAATTCGTACAACAACAACAACTGAATGAGTTGAAGCACGTACAAAAGCCATTTGAGATTGAGTGTACGAATAGTAGTATAGAAAAAGTATGAAGACATATAGATTGTGTGTATAGCAGTGTACTTTCCGTTCTTCAGTAACAAGTTTTTTTTACCGATTCTTTCTCAGATCCTATAAAAATAATACCTCTCTTGTATAATTGAATCTGCAATAATATTTATTATAACTCAATTTATAGTAAGCCAAAATAATTTAATCAAAATGTTATTTTTACTAGATAAAATCATATTTTTAAGTTTATTTTTTGCTCTTCTGGTTTAATTAGTTCTTCCGAATAAGAATCGCTCAAGCGAACTAATTTTGATGTTTTAAAATCATTGCAGCCATGTCACAGTTATAATTAAAACTAGAAGTAACTCTGAAATTTTATTACAAAGACATTTCATTTAATTTTGTTCAATTCATGCTGATTTATTTTTTCAACATGTTCTTTTTAAATTTAACAAGTTCTTTTCTGGGATTTGTCTGGGACAAATTTCCCTCTGATAATGATTGATTGACAAAAAGAAATAATATTCAAAAGTATCAATATAAATTCGACAGTTCTTTTTATATTTTCATCTCTGCACACTTTATATGCTCGACTACCGCAAAATCCATGTGTCGACGATGATAAAAACGAATTTTATTTCCGGGTTCACGATACGCGGTAGTACGCACTTGTCTGGATTCACTCGCTTTCCGTTATGCAGATATACATGAAGTAGCTGGGTTTTCATAGTTGCGGTAAAAACCCACCTGACTGTTAGAATAAATGTTTGCTTCAAAATGCTTTTGCTCTAGTAAATTCCAAATTTATGGAGCCAATTTCTATTAGATATATCGTAATCATTTTTGAGTTTGTTCATGTTTGTCTGTGTGATGTCATAAAGTTACTTTTTATAGTTCTAATCTGGAATAAGGGAGGTTATTTCGTCAGCAACTATTGTTTGAAATAGCATAGAAAATTAAAACTTGATATATTGTTCATTGGAGTCGTGAAAGTATTAGTATTTTTTTTTAGATTGAATTACTTTGAGCTAATTTTAATTTTATTATAATGAGGAAAGTTGTAATGATAATCTTGTATGTCAAAAGCTGCACGAGGTTTTATTAAAAATTTTAAACAATATTAAATGACATTGCATGAATATTGAATTTTATATTCAATCATGGTTTTGATATATACAGCAGTGAATATGACCTTAGACTTATATTCATATTTGGCCCGTGAATTTTTCTTGTAATCTCTTGTTCTGTAGCTACTTACATAAATTCTTGGGAAAGATTTAATTCAATGAACTATCAAGAACAGCTGTGAGGATATTATCGCTAGCTACATAGCCTATATAAAATATCTATGTCGACATGTGAAAATGACTGAGAAAATGGAAAGTTGTTTACAAAGAGTTATAACGTTTAGAGATTTTTAAAATACCGTGATATATGGTTATATCTTTATATCACTTTTTTAGGGGTATTTTTTAATCAGTTATTTATTGTATTGTGACAAAAATCATAAAATAACATCTAGATGGTATCTAATAAATATTTCAATTTAGTTAAAAATTATGAAAAATGGCACATTCATTATTTTTATCAGAAAAAAGACAATAATGTATCACGCCAAATCAATTCAGCCAATCTGAAAAATTAATAAGATGATAAATCAACACAGTTGACGCAATATTCACAATCTCAAAGGTCAACACTACCGACTATCCACTATATAATTGAAGAAAATATATACTTGTCAAATTATAATAATAAATCTCGATCAATATATTGGCATGATGCTTTTAAAAGGGGTGTTCATAGTGGACTTTATATAAAATAGACCGTGCAGGGTCGACGGTCTAGACCCCATACCCCCTTATGCGGTCTACCTCTTTCATAAGTATTAGGTGCTCGCATGAATTATTATCATTCTCACATTACAACAACCTTCCTATATTCTCAGAAGTTTACAATAATTTTCAAGTGAAAAACTCCCCATAATCCATATATTTTATGATAAAGTGCACCTTCAAAATTTATTCTTCCCATTAAAACAATTTTTTTGCATTATATAATAAAAGCACATCCCTGTCCAATAACTCCATTGTAATTTTTTTTTCTATCTTTATTTTTTATCCATGCATAAGTGATTTTTCACATTCGAGATTTATGTACGCATTAAATCAAGTGTTAAGTAGCATAATAATACAAACACTAACACTTGTTCTACCTAGTATTTATTATTGACTTTTCAGCGATCATTAATAATAATTACAAAAAAAAAATAAATTCAAAACAAAGATATATTTCCAGCCGGAAAAAAAGGATAAAAAGAAAATAGAATCTGTGAAAGAAATACTCGCAAAAAGGCAAATAAGATGAGAAAAATGATTCATAGTAAAGTTGAAGGCGATGACCGGATATCATAATATAGTGTAGCAGTGTAAAGAGTGTTAGTGTTAGTAATGTTGATGGTAGTAGTACAGTGTGCATATACTTGTAGCTTTTCCTGTCTATCCTGTGTTTGCGACCTCTCAACCTCGCCCCCGATTCACGAAGAGATAAATCGTTCCACCGTGTCGCCTCTCGCTCGATCTATTCACGAGATATCGATTGCGCGGAAGAAAAGCAAAAGAACACGTCTCTGGATTTAGAATTGACGCTCTTTTCAATCGACAGAATGAAATACAAAGTCCATGGAGTCCAGGTTGAGGTTCTTCCGGCCAAGTTTCCTGTCACTTTTCCTTACTCGCTCTATGCGCTTACGAGCTTTTATTTCCAAGTCTAAAAATAAGATGAATGTTACCGTGATTCAGTTGCATCTACAATATTTACACAATCGATCTATTTCCAGGTCGAACAGTTAGTTGGACTCATTAAAAATCGTTAATGTAGCATCCGAGGTTTTTCATCATTCTGATGAAGTGTATGGATTGTGGTGGAGATGATAATGATGAAAAAAAGATGGGGGGAAAAAATGGAAGAAAGTGATGAATATAGTGTATGATTTTTGGCTGGGATTCATTAAGAAATAAAAAGGCTTAATGAGGAAACCAGTTAGATTGTAAGAAAGCAAGCTTAACGACCCTATCATCCACTCGGAGTGTTAAGTTGGTAAAGCGAGAAGAGTTGGAAAGAGACTCTTCTCATCATACTTGAGCGCTTTTGCGGTCGTTGATTCTTTTTCTATATAGCGATATGACTGTGGTTTTTCCCATAGAAGAATTCCAAAAGGTGAGTCGTACGTGCAGTGGCTCGCAACTCATACAGTTAGATCAAATCGACGAGAGAATATTGCTCTATAACACTTAGTGATTTGGTGTGTTATAGAACTTGTAAGAGAAATTTTTTGTCCCATCTTGACCCTCTTACAATCCACTTTCCTCCTCTATGTACACACTCTCATTTTTCAGCGTCTCATAACGTCATATTTTTTCGTCACGACACACAAAATATCGCAATCAAGTAATTAATCTTATTTTCTTCTTTTCCGCGTTATTTCTGGACATATTTCAACCTGAAATATAAATATTTATCATCAAAACTCACTACTCTCTTGTTCAGTTAATTACTTAATTATTTATTTTTGTTTGTTGGGTGACACTAGACTACTTGGAGGAAATTTTTTTTCCCCCTTCATTATGAATTCATAGTTGAAACTTTCTTTTGCTAGGATTAAGAAATTAATGACTTATGTTAGAAAAAAGGTTATGAATATTATATTAAAGCTAAAAGTATCAAATGTATTTTTAGTAAATAAAGTGTAGGGTGACCTATTCGTCTACAGTTATCCATCAATGTGGATGAAAAACTCAATTTTTTCGTGTGATAATGGTGAAATTTTATCATTCAACATACAACTATGTCGTCAGTAAGATTAAAAAAATTCAATACCTTTTTCATTTTCAAAATTGTAAATGACAACAAAAATAGCAAAAATATTATTGATAAAAGATATTTTGGAGTAAAAGAAAAAATTTTTTTATCATGAATAAAAAATTTCTCATTTATCTCAGACTGCCAGGAATTTTTTGGTATTCCACTGTGACCCAACATCTTACTTTGCCTCAATTTCTTTCATACTTGAAAAAAAAATTCCCATCCAAATATTGATCGTCCATTTTTGTCATTTATTACTCACTAGTTGTATATTATTTGTGCTTTTAATGAAGTACAACAGCATACCTTGGTAATTTAATCTCAAGAAAATCTTGATCTTGTTATATACTCGTTGAGTAATTTTTTTTGTGTATGTGGGATTTTCTTCTTTAATAATATTTTCCGATAAATTAAAACCGGAGTAAATATAATGAAATAAAGTCATACATGAATATACATGTATGTAAATACCTTCTTCATCTAATATAAACATTTTACATAAACTCCAGCCTGCTAAGATTCTATTACAAAATAGAAAAATCTGATTGTCTGTTGGAAGAAATTCATTTAATTTAAATTTGTATTTCATTTTAATTTCATGCCTTCGTAACTCCATTTGTTTGAACTCTCAACCAAGTCCTTTTATTTTACTTCAATTATTTTTAATGCTGCTAAATATTCTTACAACTATCGTAGCAAAAAAATTATTTACTTCCACCTCAACGCTAATATTTTATTTACTCGAATTAGAAATAAAAATATTCCCTCTAAAAATAAGGTATATTTTTAAATATACACACTTTAAAAAAACAAATATTTTTCTCAGTAAATCAGTGTTGAAAGAATGTAAAAAAAAAAGATTCATTGAATTGTCAAAGAACTTTAATTGATGAGCGAAAAATGGATTTATTGTCAATAAATTTGATTTAGGAAGATGTAGAAATATGTGAGGGATGTTGGAAAATTTACAACAATTT